AAAGCCGGGACGGAGCACGCCGGGTTCTCACCGGACCAGGCTCTCACATCACCAAGCGCGAAGCGCCGTGAGGTATTCTCGACCCCGCACAACATGATGTACTCGACCCCCATTCACGGTTACCGCCCCAAAAAAAAACAGAGGTAAAAAAAAGAAAAAAGGTAACCTGGTTGCCGAGCTCACGAAGTGAATTGGCTTGTTTTACAACGTCGTTGCCAAGCGACGAAAACCCAACCCCGATGGCAAACACCGGGGGGGGGGGGGAAACACTCTGCCGTCGGTACCTCGAGGTCTCGACCTGGGGAGCTCGTTGGTTGTTGGGTATTATTGGGGGGGGGGGGGGCGTCCTCTCCTGTTTTTCATGCCTTAGCGGTTAGACTATGGTCAACGACGGCCAATCGTTCCTTCCTACTTTACCAACGGTGGCTCATTGGGGGGTGGGGGTTCAGATGGAGGGAGGGGCGGTACTCGTTGGGTGTTGAGTATTTGTGGTTCGTCTTTTCTTTCACCGCTATGTATGAAGTGGCCATGTACCACCTGGCTGGGTTTGAACAGTCCGAGCACCCAAAAGTCCCAATTCCTGACAGTGAATCATCTTCAAATTGTAGGTTGGAGCTATTCCCACGCAGAAACATAGACAAAGTCACGAATAGCCCCGAGATAGACCCGAATTTCAGGTTTTCCTGCCGATTGGCACAGAACAACAAAAAATTGAGCCCTTTACCTTGACCCCTTTTACCTTCGGCCGGTTGAAAGCCATGAAATAGATTGCATTCCAACAAAAAAAAAACATGGAACAAAAAAAACGTGAAAATACTGAGGTGGAAATTGTTCTCTCCCTACAGGGCAACCAATTCTGGCTGCAAAATAGCGTGCACCAGGACCCCGCAATCAGCAGCGAGTGCAGCAGCAGCAAAGACGCGACAAGAAAAAGGTCACCAGCCAACCGGGATACATGGGAGGTGGTGGGAAGCATGCTGCAGGCGAAGTGCATAGGCGAAAGGTCTTCGCACTCTGTACTTCCAAGTCTGTATTATTCCTGCGCCTGGAGCGCATCGACATTTACGACTTGTGGTCGAGTACAGAAAAGCATAGCCTCACCATCATCTCCGCCATCTTTTTCAATGTACGGACGTTGTGCTTCTGCTTCTCGCCCTTGAGTTCCGGGGGAGTCTCCATGTACTTCTTGGAGAAAATGCTGCCGTTGTGCCCATCACGACAAACGAATCGAATAAAACCAGAGGGTTTCGTTTCAACAGTCAGCACAACCAACCAGAGCAGGGTGAGCGGGGGGGGGGGGGGGGGCGGAGCGAAGAACGGAGGGGTTGAGAGATGGTTCGAGTCGCCCAGCCAGTAAGCGGATCGAATCGGCAAGTGTGATTTACGATTTACTATGAACTGCTCTGCTATCGCGTCTTGTCATTCACATCAGGAACGACCGGCCTATGGAGGTGCCCGTATTAAGGTTCCCTCTCCCCCACATTCGTCGAGGGCGATTCCTCCCTTTTCGCACACACACACACACACCCCTCCCCGTCCTTCCACCCAAACTCGGGGGCGGGGCAGGCGAGCAGGCCACCCATTTCGTTCCTCGCCTCATTGTTTTTTCGCGGACGTTGGCCGGTGCCTACCCCTTTTGGGGTTGGCTGTGGCCCGTAGCCACCACACATACATAGTCCCTCTCGCTCTGTCTGTCTTTATGTCTGTCTCTCTTCGTGGACGCATGACACTACATGCAGGGAAGTATATCTTCTGTCTCTGTCTCTGTCTGTCTGTCTGTCTGTCGGTCGGTCGGTCCTTCTTTCTTTCTGTCTGTCTGTGTGTGTGTGTCTCTCTCTCTCTCTCTCTCTCTCTCTCTCTCTCTCTCTCTCTCTCTCTTCCTCGCCGCCAACCCGCCTGCTCTCACCAGAAAAGGTTCCTGCCCATGCTGAAGGGGATCGCCAACGGGTCCGTGGTCACGCGGTGCCCCGCCACGTTGATCAGTCGCGACGCCTCGTCCCCGTACCCCTCACGCTCCATCAGGAGGCTGATCACCTGGGGATCGGCTTCCGTCTGCACCGTTGCGATGACACCGAAAAAAGACAACAAACCGCGGGAAAAAAAAACAACAGTGAGGGAAATCGCGGAATGGCAGCGATGAACAAGACCCAGCATGGATGCAACGAGGAAAAAAAAAATCTGGATCGAAAAATTTCGGCAGACGCTAGCTCTTTGACGTTGCTTCCGTCCCGGCCATGAACATTTGAACGACAGCAGCAGCAGCAGCAGCAGCAGCAGCAACAGCAGCGGCAGCAGCAGCAAAAACAAAAAAAAATACCACAAGAAGAACGAAAGCCCAAAGATGATACTTAGTGACGGATGAACGGTACGAGACGACAAAATACTCCAAGTCTGGGCGTGTCCGTCAAAAACAAAGACAAGGACAACAAAAAATAGTACCATGACAACAGAAAACGGAGGGTACATAAAACGACCAGCTTCTCAAGAGCAGCGAATCGAGTACAGCACATATCCCACAGAGCAAACAACAGCAACAGCACATCAAGCAGCTAGTCTCTTCTAGAGCCAACAACAACAACAACAAAAACATCAACAACAACATGAACCACACCGACAACCCAGCAGAAAAAAACACCCCCACCCACCTGGTGGTTCGACATGAGAAAGACGTTCTCTCCCTTGGCCAGGTACTCGGCGATCTTCTCCAAGTTCTCCTTGCCCTCGAGCCTCGAGTTGTCCAGCTCGATGAGGGGACGGAAGAAGTCGTTCCCCCACGTGTAGAGGTCCATCGGGTCCCTCGTTGATTCGTGGAACAGCTCGAACTCGTACGGCTTCTTCATATTCTCGGGCACCATCTACGCAGACGCGCAAAGCCGAGTATGGAAAAATGGCCGGGGGTGGGTGCGTGGGTGGGTGGTACTCACCGTCATGATCATGCACCCCCTACGAAGACTTTCGACTTACAGACACGAGAATTCCCGACAAAAGCCACGATGAACTACGCGCTGGGTTTCCCAGAGGGACCACGCATGTAGAGCACCAAGCGCGAAAGGCCGTGGCGCCTGTGTAGCTACCAACCGCTTTTGTGGGGTGGACTCAGGGCACCTTGCGCACATCATTCTATGCGTATAGATGACGGCTTGGTAGTGTTTGATGGGCGTGGTTAAGTGGAAAAAAATCGTTACTTAGCTCTTAGTGAGATGCTCACATTTCTCCAAGCTCTCTACGCGGTTTCGGAAGCCTTTCGTTATGTACACCTTGGCCGCACCGCGAAAACGCAGTCGCGACAATTCGTAGCAGAACGTAATTTCCCAAGGGTACAACAGAGAAAACCCGTCTACCAAAAAGGAGGGGAGGGGAGGGATCGGGATCGGTGGGCCATGGGGGGGGGGGGGTACCTTCCACAGCTGGTCACAAACCTTACCTTACTGCATGCATTTCTTGTCTCCCTTTCAAAAAGAGGAGAGTAATCACCGATACAACACATCGAAAACAAGCAAGTCATCAGAAAAAGAGTCCCCCCTCTAATACGAGTCCGCCTTCAAGCAGAGAAAACCGTTATTTCATACCGTGATGAGCGTGCCGAGACTGAACTGGAAATGCT